TAGATGACATTACATTCTAAAACCATTCATATCATGAGAGCACTAATATAATCCCTTAAGAAACAAGACTTCATTTGTCATCCATGAATATTTACAACATTATCCAAAAGAATAAGCCCAAGTCATGGCTATTACATCTCAAAAATTAATTAAAGAAGCGCAGCGGAATAAACAAAAGAAGCTAGACTACGCAATGTTCCAAAAGAATGTCCTAGTCTAGTACAAAAGGAAAGGAGGTAGCTCTATGCGTCCACCTCGGGATCCACACTCCCGTCCCGTGGAGTCTCCCAAGTAGCGGGCTCCTCGACCCTTACGTCCTCCTCCTCAAGCGGGTAATCTGAAAAATGTTAGCGATAGGGGGTGAGCACGAAGCTCTGTAGAAAAATTCTCCCAAACCCATACAAGGTTTAGAAAAGCATTTAAAATGGTCGGTCTCAATTTTAACATAACATAGATACATAATTTGAAATAAAGCAGTGACATTTAAAAAGGATCTCAAGTTTATTTAAAAATATTACTTAAATGAATAAACGAGCACCATATACAAATAATAACTATTAATTGCCATAACCAATTTTCAACAATTCTTTCGATAGGTGGCATACTTTGTGATAACCTCCACCCCTCTTTAGGTCACATTTGATTCTCAAACATCCTTACCGAAAACCTCTTGAGAATGGATAAGCATCCTTACATGGAACCTCTCACCAATTACTGCATTGTTTTTCAAGCATCCTTACCGGGAACCTCTTGGGAAGGGGTGAGCATCCTTACGANTTACTTAAATGAATAAACGAGCACCATATACAAATAATAACTATTAATTGCCATAATCAATTTTCAACAATTCTTTCGATNATGAGCACCACACACAAATAATAACCAGTAATTGCCATAACCAATTTTCAACAATTCTTTCGATAGGTGGCATACTTTGTGATAACCTCCACCCCCCTTTAGGTCACATTTGATTCTCAAACATCCTTACCGAAAACCTCTTGAGAATGGATAAGCATCCTTACATGGAACCTCTCACCAATTACTGCATTGTTTTTCAAGCATCTTTACCGGGAACCTCTTGGGAAGGGGTGAGCATCCTTACGAGGAACCTCTCACTCNATGGAACCTCTCACTAATCACTACATTATTTTTCAAGCATCCTTACTGGGAATCTCTTGGGAAGGGATGAACATCCTTACAAGGAACCTCTCACTCATGTGTATCAAAAACAATCCAACCAAGCATATAATTCTAACATTTATCTCAATTTACAAGCATCTATCCAAAATCTCCAAAATATATCATGTAACAATTCCACAACCAACTAACAAAATACATTAGATCACAATGACATCATTTTTCTACCCAACATAAAGCACTAAGGTTTCGAAATTCATAATAAAGAAAACATGTAGGAAGAAAATACATCAGTCTCCAAAAATTAGGGTTTTAAAACTAGAAAAGAGATTTCATGGGTATTAAACCCTACTTTGTTCAAAATATATAATCATTGCAAAAAAAAAAATGCCTAAGAGNTTTATGATTTATCCCAAAACCAAAGTCAACGTACACCCGAAACACTAAAATTTCTATTTTATCCATCCGAACAGGCTATTAATGAAGTTTTGAGTTGTTTACAAATAAAATGTGATAAAGGGTGCTTCTTAGAGCATTTTATACTTATTTGAAGCCTAAATGTACTCATTATTCTTATATTTTCATTTAGGATGCAAATAGAGACGTTAAATACAAAACGAAGCTAATTGGACTGTTTTAACATCGCTTCGTTATCTGGGCATAATTCTCTTATCCGAGCTCCGATTGAGATGATTCAAGATGACATGGAATGATAAGAAAGAGATATAAAACTTTTATGTTTTTAGTTTTGAGAGATATTGAATAAATCAAAGTCTAAATCGGGCTTGAAGTTGCAGCCAGTGCACTATTCAAGCTAATTGGGCTGTTTTGACATCACTTCGTTATTTGAGCATAACTCTCTCATCTGAGCTTCGATTGAGATGATTCAAGATGATATGGAATGCTAAAAAAGAGATGTACAACTTTCATGTTTTGAGTTTTGAGAGATATTAACTGGATCAAGTTCGAAATCGTGCTTGAAGTTGCAGTCAATGCACTGTTCACGTGAACTGTTCACGTCCTGTTTCATCCCTTTTCCATTTTCAATCCATTTCCAATCTATTCCTAAGCCAATCAAATCCATCTCAAACCTCTCCAGCACATATTTCTACACCAAAAATATTTAATACAAGTTCGAAGACCTAAAATTTCATATTTTTACTTATTAAAACTAAATTTCAACTATTATTTTCACTAACATTTTAAATTTCTACTTTTCTAATCTACCAAATTCAAACACACATCACTACACATATCCACATTTTTACAACAATTATTTACTATATATCTATATACATATATAAAATAAAATGCGAGGTGTTACATATAGTATACTTTACCATTGATTTTTTGTTTGATTTTTTTTTTTATCCACCAAATCCAGCATCCTGACTTCGAAACAGGTGTCNCTTATTCTTCCCTTCCTTTCTTCCTCTCTAATGCTCTCTAGGGTTCCAAGAGGTGTGGGGTGAGAGTTGACTGAAAGAAATGAGAGCAAATGGGATGAAAATGGGGTTTAAAACACCTCAGCCCCGAAATTCACTATTCACAGCCTGTTTTGATTTTCTCCAAAATCACGATTTTGTCACTAAGAATCTCAAATTTGATCCATATGACTACTCTAAAGTTTTTCGACGTTACGAATTCATTTTTAATGTTATTTTAACCTAAAAATATTTATTTTTATGATTTATCCCAAAACCAAAGTCAACGTACACCCGAAACACTAAAATTTCTATTTTATCCATCCGAACCGGCTATTAATGAAGTTTTGAGTTGTTTACAAATAAAAGGNCCGAAACACTAAAATTTCTATTTTATCCATCCGAACAGGCTATTAATGAAGTTTTGAGTTGTTTACAAATAAAATGTGATAAAGGGTGCTTCTTAGAGCATTTTATACTTATTTGAAGCCTAAATGTACTCATTATTCTTATATTTTCATTTAGGATGCAAATAGAGACGTTAAATACAAAACGAAGCTAATTGGACTGTTTTAACATCGCTTCGTTATCTGGGCATAATTCTCTTATCCGAGCTCCGATTGAGATGATTCAAGATGACATGGAATGATAAGAAAGAGATATAAAACTTTTATGTTTTTAGTTTTGAGAGATATTGAATAAATCAAAGTCTAAATCGGGCTTGAAGTTGCAGCCAGTGCACTATTCAAGCTAATTGGGCTGTTTTGACATCACTTCGTTATCTGAACATAACTCTCTCATCTGAGCTTCGATTGAGATGATTCAAGATGATATGGAATGCTAAAAAAGAGATGTACAACTTTCATGTTTTGAGTTTTGAGAGATATTAACTGGATCAAGTTCGAAATCGTGCTTGAAGTTGCAGTCAATGCACTGTTCACGTGAACTGTTCACGTCCTGTTTCATCCCTTTTCCATTTTCAATCCATTTCCAATCTATTCCTAAGCCAATCAAATCCATCTCAAACCTCTCCAGCACATATTTCTACACCAAAAATATTTAATACAAGTTCGAAGACCTAAAATTTCATATTTTTACTTATTAAAACTAAATTTCAACTATTATTTTCACTAACATTTTAAATTTCTACTTTTCTAATCTACCAAATTCAAACACACATCACTACACATATCCACATTTTTACAACAATTATTTACTATATATCTATATACATATATAAAATAAAATGCGAGGTGTTACATATAGTATACTTTACCATTGATTTTTTGTTTGATTTTTTTTTTATCCACCAAATCCAGCATCCTGACTTCGAAACAGGTGCCTGTCTTGCTCGTCCAAGCTTGAGATTTTTGTTGTTATAAATTATTTTGTGAACTTGCAATTAGCTGTAGAGTCCAGATGGTTTAGGACAGTGCAGAGAACCTCTTACGAACTACCTTGATCCCACGCTGGTCATGCTGCAATAAAAGCCTGATTTGAAGAGGCAAGTCTCCTTGATTCGAGTATAAATGAGGGGCTTGACCCAGAACCCCTTGATTTGCCAGAACATCTGCAACCGAGTTTCCTTCTCGATAAATATGTTGTATTTGAAAGTCCATATGCTGTAGAAGGGGAAGTATTTGATTCATGAATGTCCACAAATGCCAGGATGGCGAAGATTTTTTGGTAATCATGTCCAACAAGACCTGAGAGTCAGTCTCAATTACCCAAGGATAGACCTCTAAGCCATAATTATGGATGAGGGAAAGACCATCCAGTAAAGAACACATCTCAACTTCCNGCATAACTCTCTCATCTGAGCTTCGATTGAGATGATTCAAGATGATATGGAATGCTAAAAAAGAGATGTACAACTTTCATGTTTTGAGTTTTGAGAGATATTAACTGCATCAAGTTCGAAATCGTGCTTGAAGTTGCAGTCAATGCACTGTTCACGTGAACTGTTCACGTCCTGTTTCATCCCTTTTCCATTTTCAATCCATTTCCAATCTATTCCTAAGCCAATCAAATCCATCTCAAACCTCTCCAGCACATATTTCTACACCAAAAATATTTAATACAAGTTCGAAGACCTAAAATTTCATATTTTTACTTATTAAAACTAAATTTCAACTATTATTTTCACTAACATTTTAAATTTCTACTTTTCTAATCTACCAAATTCAAACACACATCACTACACATATCCACATTTTTACAACAATTATTTACTATATATCTATATACATATATAAAATAAAATGCGAGGTGTTACATATAGTATACTTTACCATTGATTTTTTGTTTGATTTTTTTTTTATCCACCAAATCCAGCATCCTGACTTCGAAACAGGTGTCTGTCTTGCTCGTCCAAGCTTGAGATTTTTGTTGTTATAAATTATTTTGTGAACTTGCAATTAGCTGTAGAGTCCAGATGGTTTAGGACAGTGCAGAGAACCTCTTACGAACTACCTTGATCCCACGCTGGTCATGCTGCAATAAAAGCCTGATTTGAAGAGGCAAGTCTCCTTGATTCGAGTATAAATGAGGGGCTTGACCCAGAACCCCTTGATTTGCCAGAACATCTGCAACCGAGTTTCCTTCTCGATAAATATGTTGTATTTGAAAGTCCATAGGCTGTAGAAGGGGAAGTATTTGATTCATGAATGTCCACAAATGCCAGGATGGCGAAGATTTTTTGGTAATCATGTCCAACAAGACCTGAGAGTCAGTCTCAATTACCTAAGGATAGACCTCTAAGCCATAATTATGGATGAGGGAAAGACCATCCAGTAAAGAACACATCTCAACTTCCATATTTGTACATCTACCATAGGAGTAAGAACCTGCTAGAACAAACTGACCCCAATGATTGCGTATGATCACCCCATCCCCAGAAAAACCTGGGTTTCCTTTTGAAGCTCCGTCAATATTTAATTTCAATCTACCTTCTGGTGGATATAGCCAAGAGACCCATTTCACCTTTATTGTCACATGAGAGATATAATTGATATTAAGAGAGAGTAGAAGGGCTTTCCCTGATTCTGAGTCCATGTGTTTGGGCTTCACATTGTATGCTTGCATATGACAAAACTGANAATTTCAACTATTATTTTCACTAACATTTTAAATTTCTACTTTTCTAATCTACCAAATTCAAACACACATCACTACACATATCCACATTTTTACAACAATTATTTACTATATATCTATATACATATATAAAATAAAATGCGAGGTGTTACATATAGTATACTTTACCATTGATTTTTTGTTTGATTTTTTTTTTATCCACCAAATCCAGCATCCTGACTTCGAAACAGGTGTCTGTCTTGCTCGTCCAAGCTTGAGATTTTTGTTGTTATAAATTATTTTGTGAACTTGCAATTAGCTGTAGAGTCCAGATGGTTTAGGACAGTGCAGAGAACCTCTTACGAACTACCTTGATCCCACGCTGGTCATGCTGCAATAAAAGCCTGATTTGAAGAGGCAAGTCTCCTTGATTCGAGTATAAATGAGGGGCTTGACCCAGAACCCCTTGATTTGCCAGAACATCTGCAACCGAGTTTCCTTCTCGATAAATATGTTGTATTTGAAAGTCCATATGCTGTAGAAGGGGAAGTATTTGATTCATGAATGTCCACAAATGCCAGGATGGCGAAGATTTTTTGGTAATCATGTCCAACAAGACCTGAGAGTCAGTCTCAATTACCTAAGGATAGACCTCTAAGCCATAATTATGGATGAGGGAAAGACCATCCAGTAAAGAACACATCTCAACTTCCATATTTGTACATCTACCATAGGAGTAAGAACCTGCTAGAACAAACTGACCCCAATGATTGCGTATGATCACCCCATCCCCAGAAAAACCTGGGTTTCCTTTTGAAGCTCCGTCAATATTTAATTTCAATCTACCTTCTGGTGGATATAGCCAAGAGACCCATTTCACCTTTATTGTCACATGAGAGATATAATTGATATTAAGAGAGAGTAGAAGGGCTTTCCCTGATTCTGAGTCCATGTGTTTGGGCTTCACATTGTATGCTTGCATATGACAAAACTGAAGAATAGCTTTAAATAAAACAGAAGGGTGAAGCTTGTGATTCTCAAAAACTCTTCTACATCTTTCCCTCCATAGTTGCCAGTAGTGAAATACCTCTAGTCAAAACATGACTCATAGAAGAGAGCCTAAATATTCTTAGGAGTCGTAGAAATCTTGTGATAGGATCTTCATTCTCAATCAAGTGAAAACCAAAAAATCTGGAGACATAACTCCACACTTCTCTGGCATAGGAACAATTAATAAACACATGGACCAATGTCTCCACTTCCTTTGCACACAATGCACACTAGCTGGCCAAAGCCACACCCCTCCTCTGAAAAGTAGAGTCCATGGGGAGAATGTCCTTCCATAGCTTCCATCCATGCAAAATAGCACTAGGAGGAGAAACTTGTTTCCATAAAGCTGAATAATACATCTGAACTGGCCCAACAGTACGAACTAGATCCCAAGCAATTTTTAGAGAAAATTCCCCAGTAGGAGTGAGCTACTAGATCAACTTATCCTCCTTAGAGGATAGCAGAACAGATGAAGAAACAATTTCTTGTAGTAGATTGTCATCTAAGCATTTCGAAACTCCTTGTAAGTTCCAACTACCATTTACCAACAAGTCTGATAGCATGGGAAACTAACTAGGCTACGTAGAATTCCTTAGTATTAACGACCCTGTTCCAAGCCAATTATCACACCAGAAGTTAACTGTATGACCTGTTCCCACCAGCTTTTTGGAGTTGTTGATTACTGGCCCTATCCACGGAGCCAGAGCTTTAAAAAGTCTAGAGTGATTGCTAGTGTGTTGTATAAGTGGATGGCGATTCTTGAAATACTTAGAGGTAAAGAAAGAAGACCAAAGGGATGAGCCTTGCAGTAATTGCCACACTTGTTTCATTCTAAAAGCTTTTTGTACATCGGAAAACTTCCTGATCCCAAGTCCACCCTCCTCTTTAGGCTTAGTAATATTATCCCAGGAACACCAATGCCTCTTGTGGCCATCTCTTGTACCAGACCATAGAAAAGAAGCCATAATGGAGTTAAGTTTAGCAATAATGCCTTTACGCAAGTTTAAAGTAGCTAGTAGATGCACCGGAATAGAGTTAAGAACCGCTTGAATTAGAACCACTCTGCCCATATTGGATAGAAGTTTAGCATAATAACCTTCCAGCCTAGATTGAAATTTATGCAGCAAATCCTCAAAGTAGAGCAGCTTGACCCTGCCTTTAATTATTGGGCACCCCAAATAGTTAAATGGGCATGATTTGACTGGGATACCAGATGTGTGGGATAAAGTATTCCTCCTGGCCAGAGTAATCTTAGACAANAATAGTTAAATGGGCATGATTTGACTGGGATACCAGATGTGTGGGATAAAGTATTCCTCCTGGCCAGAGTAATCTTAGACAAACAATATAGGGATGACTTCTGCTTGTTAACTTTCTGACCAGATGAGCCCTCATATCTTCTCACAAAATTCAACAGGTTACGCATTGATCTCTTATTCCCTCTCAAAAAGATAAGAGTGTCATCAGCAAAAAGCAAGTGACTAAGTAGTGAGTTCCCCCTCCCTGTGTGATAGTTTTTAATGAAGCCTTGCTAGAAGCAGTATCAGAGCCCTCTACTTAAAACCTCTTCTGCTAATATGAATAGGCTAGGAGATAATGGATCTCCTTGCCTAAGACCTCTAGAAATAGGGAAAAAACCATGCCTAACTCCATTAATAGCCACCGTAATGTGTTGATTGTTGAGGCAATTTGAAATAACAATCAAAAAATTGTTAGAAAACCCAAAGCAGGTCAATACCTTTTTTAGAAAATCCCATTCTATCTTGTCAAAGGCCTTCATCATGTCTAATTGAAGTATAACATTACCAGCCTCCACCTTCCTATCAAGCTCATGCACCATAAATTGAGCAAGAGCAATGTTGTCACCTATGTTCCTTCCTTTAACAAAGCCATGCTGCCCCATTGAGATCAACTAGGGTAGTAAAACATTAAGTCTCTTAGCCAATAGTTTAGTGAAAATTTTGTACAGAAAGTTGTAGAAGCTAATAGGCCTGAAGTCTGAAAAGAAGTAGGAACATCCTTCTTAGGAATTAAAGTTAATAAGGTGGCATTCACTAANTAATAGGCCTGAAGTCTGAAAAGAAGTAGGAACATCCTTCTTAGGAATTAAAGTTAGCATTCACTGANTTCTTAGGAATTAAAGTTAATAAGGTGGCATTCACTAATCTTGGAACAACCCCACCTTGCAAGAAATAATTCACAACAGCTAGGAGATCCAGCTTAATAATAAGCCAGGCTACCTGAAAGAATTTCCCTGAAAATCCATCCGGACCTGGAGCACTATGAATTGACATTGAAAATATGATTTCTTTCAACTCATCCAAACTTGCTGGGGCTGTTAAACACGCGTTGTCCTCCATAGTAACTAGATGGGGAATGACTGAAAAGAGCTCACTCTCCAAAACATGAGGCTCAGATTGATAAAGTGTGGAGAAGAAACTGACTGCACAATCCGCTATAGCCTTCTCATTGTCCACCCAATCACCTTCTACATTTTTAATTCGCAAGATTCTATTTCTACCCCTCTTTCCCTTGGCCACTACATGATACAATTTGGTATTCCTCTCCCCCTCCATTGTCCATTTCATATTTGCTTTCTGTCTCCAGTAAGTTTCTTCCATCTTCAACACTTCCTCCAATTCCTTGTTTGCCAATTCCAAAGCAAAGCAGTTGACTGTCCAATTACTGTTCTCCAAGTCAATTTCTGCTTGCTGAAGTCTTATCTCCTTGGCTTTAATATTTTCAAATAGGTTACCGAATGTATTTCTATTCCATATTTTCAGTTGGCACTTAAGAAATTTCAGCTTCAAAAACACATTTTCAATAGGATTGGATGAGTGATTACCAGGCCAGTAAGACTCCACCAGCTCAAGAAAACCAAAATGAGCTGTCCACATGTCCTGAAATTTAAAGTAGGATAATCTTCTTGGTTCATCCACTTCTGATAACCTCACTATTAATGGACAATGGTCAAAAGAACCTTTAGCAGCATGTTCCACTTGAGTACTTGCAAATCTTTGGCCCCATTCAACATTGGTAAGTGCTCTGTCTAATCGTTGCCACATTTTTGTCCTACCATGGTGCTTGTTTGATTGATATGAATTATTTTTTTGTGGTTACAGTTTCTTGAATTTAAGGCGCAATGCTTAATATCCAAAAGCATTTTATGTTGGCGCAGCAATGATTTTTGTTATTTTCTTTTCACTTTATTTTGGTCAGTAGTTGCCTAAACGATTTTGTTCTTATTCTGAAGGTTTCTAAAGGGGGCTTCAAGCATTGATCAACATTTCTATTCGACACCATTTGAGAAAAACATACCTGTATGTCCAAATGGCATGGTCATTTCTCGGCTCTGTTATTTTTAATAACTTTTTTTCTAGATACCCTGGATGTCAATTAGATATTTGGATGACTTATTTTATTGTTTATTGGCATTGCTTCAGGTGCTCCTGGTTTTGTTGGTCATATGGAATGTTTCGTTTCTTGGTTACCTAGTAAGATGCTACATTTAATTTATGTCGTTTGACGATTTTCTGATAATGTCTTCTGCTTGAATATTATTTTGGAATCTTTATCATAAAACCCTTAAGGCCTTCCAAATTTAACCCAATTTAGGTTAGCATGGAGAGTAATGGGAAAGGAGTATCGATTGACGGTCTGCCTCTTCCCTCTGAGGTTGGTGAGATTGATTTTGGTGAACCAGGAACAAATGATCAGCATAGCTTTTACCAATTGATTCACCAGGTAACACATAAGTACATAGAATATGCTAATTTGGCTAGAATGTGAAACGCTTTCTTAAATTCCTTACACCCATATTGATTAACTGTGAGTATGTGCTCCTGTCATTTCATTTCTTGTGTGGTTAATTTGTTGATGTTGTGTATGAAATAGATTTTTTTTTTTAGGACTCAAGCTTATTCTTTCTCATCATAGGTTCCAATTGTCTCAGTTAACTGTATTCTCTTTGCTAAATATTTTATCACATAAGAATTATTTCTCTTTATTGGTTCTAGAGCTTAAACTAACAATAGAGAATTATATTTGATTGTCGCATAAGTAGGGTATTTATCTAGTTTTTTTTTAAACTTGCTTAAACTATGTGATACTTTCTCTTTCTATGAAATTGTGTTACCTATTTTGTGTTAAGTAGTTTCAGTGGATTGGAGGCTTAGATGACTCCTTGAATAATGAATAATGACATCTAGATGCCTATTTGTGGATTGGAGGCTTAGATGCCTATTTGTTGAGTTCTCATAACTGTCCATGGTTTGCTGCTATCTTGCTTTGGTTTTAATCTATTGTGTTGAATTTTGAATTTTGTTGTGATCTTCTGGGCAGTGGTTATAGGTGGTGATGGTTTTGGAAAGATCACGTAAGTGAATTTTAGTTCATTTTTTTTCCTTTTCCTGTTTGGTTAGTTGTGTAATTTGGAGTATTCCTAATTTAATGAAATTTTTTTTTTAATTTAAGTGGTCAAAGTATTGGTTGATGACAACTGTTGATGACTGTCCATCTAATACCTCAGGTAACCCACTGAGCGAAATAAAATTTTGAATTCTTTGGTTTATGTTTAGTTGATCTTCCAAGAAATGAAGAATGCTTACCGAAAGAAAAGATATGAAGAATATCGCAGTTAACAAAGTATGTGTGATCAAACTATTTTTTCTCCCTCAGTTTGTGTTATGTTTAATTCATAGGAATGGAATTTTGCGTTATGTTTTCCAGTGTTTTTTCTATTACCAAACGATGAGTTACCGTTAGATTTCTATACGATTTGTTTGACGATGACTGAATATGTTGTTTGTTGGATAATTGGGACGTAGGGAATTTAATTCGCTGTGTTTGAGCTTATGTTTTGTGCTTTGGTAAAGAGTTCAAGTAGTTGACTCCTGATTGATTTTGTTCATTAAGCCAAAAAGTTTCATTAATTGTACTTCGATGGAGTACTGATAAAAATATTAGGGTAAATATCATAATTTGTCCCTAAATTTTGTCACAGGTTTCAATTTAGTCCTTGAACTTTCAAATCTCTCAATTTAGTTCCTTAATTATCAATTGTCTTAATTAAGTCATTTCATCCATTTCCACCATTAGATAAAAAATATATGATTTAACTCTTTCTTGATTATTTTGCGCTAGAAATGGGAGAAAAAAAATTATAACTCTTCCTTTCCCTCCATACCAAATGTCTGATCATAGACAGTGTCACGACACTATTGATTTGATTCATCTGTGGCAACACCTTTCAAATGTGTAAAAGTCCCAGAAATTAACAAGATGGTGGCTCCTTTCGACCTAATTTATGTTCATGCACATGCCATTTTTTCATTTAAAAAAGTCTGGAATGATGCGAAACACCGTCAATTTTGTGAAACTCGCTAACAACTTTTTGGAATGGGGTCATAAATCTTTTTTGATACAATTGTTGAATTGGTGTTGATTGATGCTTTGATTTCTTACTATCTTTGTCTGCCATGTAGTCTTACCACTACAAGGTAAAAGGGTTTTTACGGCGGTAAAATGCTGTCATAAAAAGTCTATTTGCCGTCACAAATATTTTTTTTGTGGCGGCATTGCCTCGCCATAATAAATGTGGTCTCAAAAGGTTTTACGGTAGTAATGATTTGTCTCAAATAATATTTACGGCAGCAAAACCCTATCGTAAATAAGTTGTCACAAAAAATTCGACACTTTTGCTTTTATCACGGTGGCAAAAGTGCTGCCTCAAATACCACATTTAGCTGACGTAAAAAAATAGAAGATTTTGTTGTGATGGTTAATATACTGTCACAAAAAGTAAGAAATTTTTTTTATGTTAAATAAAATATATTTACAACGACAATGCTGCTGCAACAAATTTTTTTTTTAATTATTATGGACTGTTGGTAACCAATGTTATATACCATAAAATTCTTTTTTTTGGGAGGGGGAGGGGGAGGAGGGAAGGAGATTTGAACCCTTACTTTCACAAGATAAGAAATATCATTTGACCAAAGACCCATTGGTATCCGTACAACTATCCAATTCAATATATAGATAAACACAAAAGTAAATATGATCAACATTTCCAAAAACATAGCAATATTTTCATATCCAAACAAAAAAAAAGCACAGCAAATATGGAAACCATAGAATGTATCAATTACACAGAATAATGTTGACCCTTTGGAAGATTCAATTCCTAATTCTGATCGAAATATGGCAAAGGAAACTCCTATGATTAATTATGAACAGAACAAAGTGGGATAAGAAAATTGTAGATTGGATTATCCCTGTAACAGCGGCAGACCATCCTCCAATTACCACTCAGACTTTTGCAATAGGTGACCATTCTGGGAAAGATGATGAGGCATGCAACAATTTAAATTTAGGAAAACTTGTGAAACAAAATAATGGAACTACTATCATTGACCAAGAACAGGTTGTTGATGGCCAGAGTCAATTGCATAAGCAGTCATTAAATCATATGGATTCTACTTTTTTAATTGATCACCTATATGTTTGCCTAGAAGGTTCTAAAGAATTTCTAGATGATGATAGGGGATTACAGAGTATTAGAGAACCACCAGATAAAGGGTTTCATGTTTTCAGTCAGTTCAACTAATATAGGGGATGATGAACAGGACCCTGATGCAATAGAAAACTGTAATACAGTTAATAACATTCAATGTCCACCATTTTCTGGTATTGTAACTAGATCCAGGTCTAGCAAGCCCTCTTCCCACTGCTCTTAGATGATTAATACAATCATATGGAATGTTAGAGGTGCAAACCAAGAACACTCTAGGCTGAGATTGAAAGAGTTAATTAAGTTACATGATGTTTGTTTAGTTACTATTTTGGAACCAAAACTTGGTCCTTCAAGGTTGCTTGGCATATGTGCACATTTGGGATTCTCTTCCTATTTAGCAAATCCATTAGCTGAAAAGTATACTTGGATACTATGGGATACAAGATTGAAGATTAACATTTTATCTGCTCATGAGCAAGCACTGACTATGGAAGCCTCCTTCTTGGGATCTCCCACTTTCATCCTTACGTTTGTCTGTGCTAAATGTGAACATGTGCAGAGAAGGGACCTATGGTGTTATCTAGCTGGGGTACCAATTTCTTTGAAGTCATGGATGATTGTTGGAGATTTTAATACAATAGTTTGGTCCACAGAGAGAAAGGGTGGGGTTACTCCAAGCTTGACCATTATGAATGAGTTTGTAACAGTTATCAACTCTTTGCTCTTTGGCCCTGCAGTACTGTGGCTTTATTGGTTCACCATTCACTTGGTGTAACAACCACCAGGGTATGACAAGGATGTGGCAGCGGCTGGATGGAGCTTTGACTAATGTGGAATGGGGAGAAAGGTTTATGAGTACAATTGTTGAGCATGCAGGGAGAGGGCAGTCTGATCACTCTCCACTTATTGTTAAGTTTACTGAAAACGCAGCAGCTTCAAGGATTTCCTACTTTAAAATTTAGAATATGTGGATTGAGCACTTTGATTTTCTGCAGCTAGTGGAGAGCTGCTGGGCTGGTCAATACTCTCCAAACCTCATTGAGAATTTCTTTTTGAAACTCAAGTTTTTAAAGGGGCAATTGAGGAAGTGGAATAAGGAATCTTTTGAAAACGTCTTTGAAAACATTAAAAGACTTGAAAAGCAGTTGGCTCAAGTTGAAGAGAATTTTGACAGAGATGGTTCAAATGGTCAGGATATACTAAATGTTAGGGTTGAACTAGATACAGCTTTAAAGATTGAAGAAATGTTTTGAAGGCAAAGGGCAAATGTGAGGTGGATAGTGGAAGGGGAGATAAACACTAAATTATTCCATGCTTTAGCTAAAAGTAGAGTTACTAGGAATAAAATTTCAAGAATAAAGAATGCAGGAGGACAATGGTTGGAAGATGAACAAGGTATTGCAGATTGTGTAGTGGAATTTTACACTAATCTTTACACTTCTGAAATACATAACTTGGACGGGGAGTTGTTTTCTTTCCCACCTAAACTGGTCAATGATGAAGATAATTGTATGCCACCTCTCATGTCACCATTGAAGAACTGCAGAATTTAGACCAATAAGCCTATGTAACTTTCTACATAAGATCTATACAAAGATTTTAACTTCGAGGTTGAGTACTTTGTTGTCTAAGCTTATTTCAGAGGAACAACAAGGCTTTGTAAAGGGGAGGAGCATTTCAGAGAGTGTAGCACTAGCTCAATCTATGGTGAATGACCTGGACAGGAAGGTGGAGGGTGGAAATGTAATTGTAAAATTGGAAATGATGAAAGCTTTTGATAGATTGGAATGGGATTTTTCTGAATCAAACCTTGAGAAGTTTTGAATTTTCTGGCATATTTCTGGGTATTATCAATATGTGACTCTAGCTATATTATCAATTTTCTGGAATATTTCTGGCATATCAATATGTGACTCTAGCTATTAATGATAAAAGGTATGGTTTCTTCCCCAAGTCAATACTGCTTAGACAAGGAGATCCTTTGTCTCCTAGTATATTTATACTTGCTGAAAAGGTATTGAGCAGGGGACTAAAGCTTATATATGAGTAGGGGCTGGTTCACTACTACCATACAGGCAAAGGATCATTGAAACTGACTCATTTGTTTTTTGCAGATGATACCCTAATATTTTTGAAAGGTAATAGGAAGTCAATGATTAACCTACTGAAGTTTGTGAAAAGATATGAAGTTTCTTCAGCGCAGCAGGTGAATCAGTCTAAGAGCTCTCTATATTGTTCTGCTATGATGTCCTTAGCAAGGAAACTCTCACTCTCTAATACAACTCACATCCCCTTGAAGAATTTCCCTTTCACATACTTAAGTTGCCCAATTATAAGAGGAAGAATTAAACTTATTTACTTTGAGGAGTTGTTGAGAAAATTCCAGTTGAAGCTTGAAGGGTGGTATACAAAGATGTTGTCTAATATGGGTAGAATAGTATTAATACAATCAGTCTTGAGCTCTATTCCTATTCACTTACTTGCTTCCCTAAATTTGCCTAAAGGAATTATCTCTAAGTTGAACTCTGTTATGGCCTCATTTCTTTGGTCTGGTAAAGCAAATATCAATAAAAGACATTGGTGTTCTTGGAAAGTTATTACTGTGCCTAAGGAGGAAGGAGGAAGGAGGATTAGGAATAAGAAAATTCGAGGATGTGTAACAAGCATTCAGAATCAAACAGGTATGGGTTTTGCTTAATGGTAAATCAATATGGTCCAAACATTTCTCTGCTAAATATTTGAAAAACGAGCATATGCTCACTAACTCAGCACACAACCATCCTAGGAGTTAAAGGGATTTGGCCTCATTCTGGTCTCTTGTAATTCATTGGTTTTGGTGGGTTCTGGTTGTTCAGCGGATTTTTGGTGTGATAACTGGACTGAGAAAGGTCCACTGATTCTTAGGAACTCTGTGATGCCTACTATCTTTCCAAAGCTTTCTCAGTTGTTTGTAGAAGGTCGTTGGGAATTGGGGGAGGTTTATCAATTGATGGATGATCAATTGTTGCAGGAGATTATAAATGTGCAGTTGGAATTATCAACAAGGGAAGATAAGATTATTTGGCAACATTCTTCAGATGGAAAGTTTACTCTTAAGTCTGCATGGAATAGTATAAGATCAGAAAGACATTTTAATGATCAAGCTGATGCAATTTGGAAACAGAAGGTGCCTCCAAGTGCGTAGTTGATTGGTTGGAAGTTAATGCAAAAATCACTACCTATGGACTCTCTATTTCAAACAATAGGGGTCTCACTAGCTAGTAGATGTGTCTTTTGTTATAAGGCTTGTGAATCGCCTTCCCATATCTGTGTCCAATGCAAGTATGCACAGGTAGTGTGGGAGAGCATCTCTGCAAAATTTGGAATTCAATTAATTGCACAGGAGCAGCATCTTGGTAGATTTATGAGGTTTGTTAGAATATACAAACATCCTTCAGTTGGTCATTTTTTAATTAGAGGCCTGCCTTTATTGATCTATTGGCAGCTTTGGAAGTAAAGGTGTAGAAGGTTATTTGAAGGTCAGAAATCCCATTCTACTTCCCTAACTAAAATAGTTATGCATTTTTTTGAGACTGCAAACATTATCATTAGGCCAAAGGCATTGGATACTATTTAGGAAATGGATATGCTTAACAACATGAATGTTATTATCTCTAAGAGAGCTCAATTCAAGACATGGTGGATTGCTTGGGAACATCCAGTTGAAGGTTTTTTAAAGCTTAACATTGATGGGGCCTCTAAAGGTAACCTAGGTCTATCAGGTGGAGGTATGATACTCAGGAATTCTAGAAGTCAGCTAGTCCTTGCAGGTTCTTACTATGATGGATTCTGTACAAATATGGAAGCAGAGATGAGGGTGTTATGGGATGGTCTGTGTTTGTTACAGGACTATGGTTTGACACATTACCCACTAGTCATTGAAACAAATTCAAAGGTGTTGATTGCTATGGACTTAAAGAAGAGCCAAGCTTCATGGCATCTCTGGGATCTATTGGACAGGATATTTTCCCTTCTTCAGAGTTTTTCATTCCAAATTAAGCATACTTTTAGAGAAGGTAATGCAGTTGCAGACTCCTTAGCCAACAAAGGGGTGATTGATGGTTATTCTCTAGCATATATTGCTGCGGATGGTCTTCCAATGACAACCAAACAGCTTATATTGCAGGATTCTAGACAAATACGGGTTCTAAGGAAACGTCTAATGTTTTTATGATATGCATATGGACTACTCATTTTCATTTAGGAGATTGGAATCTTTTCATAACTGGAGAATTTATTCATTTATAACTACGAATATAGCAGTATTTATCATCCATGGATCAGATATGGGCATTCAGAAGCATAGGCATTCAAGGTGGGGGAGTGTACAGATACCTGGAGGAATTTTTGGCTGTTGGCATCCATTTCGCTGTTCGTCTTCAGAATGGGGGAGCTTTGCTCTGCTCCTCTGTTCTCAGGCTCAGGCTTCAGATCTTCATGGCACTAATTGCTGGAATCTCCTTCAGTCTCCAAAATCTGCAGGGCTTCACTGCTACTGGATACTCTCCATTGTTTTGCATGTCTTTGGTATTCAGTTTTCTTTCAAATCCCATCTGATCAGAAGCTGCCTATTCGTCTTCATTGATTGGGGTATTGTATTGGATTGGTCTTCTCCATGTTTTCTGAAACTTCTGGATATTCATCTTCTCGCAGGGTTCTTTCTCTCTGAATGGTGCTTACTATGGCCGATTTTTAGAATACAGGCTTTTCATCTCTTTATCTCCTTTAACCTTTGGATTTGCAGAGCTTCTATCTCACTGGTGCAGAGACTCTGTATCATAAATCAGATGTTTCAACATTTTTTTGAGGCCTCTGTATATCTCAATCTATGTTTTAGACTTTCTGAATAATTAGAAAGGCCATTTTGCCTTTCAATAATTGTAACAGGTTATCAAACCTATTCAGTTCCCCAGATCATACTACCTTATCAGCATGATACCCTATCGCATACCTCTTCAGCTGACCTATCAATTAGGCGGCTGCCTTCTTCTCATATGCCATATCAAAGTCCCATTACTCTCAGCTTAGTCAAGATTTCAACTCAGAAAACGTGCAGTTTCAACAGCAACATTTTCAGCTCGACTCTCCCAGCTGCTATCATTAAGGCAGCCCATATTTAGGTTGCACCTTACAGAGCAGCATGCTTAGGTATTTTTTCTATCATTTATTATGTAATAGGCATGCATTTTGTTTCCTTTTTGAAGTTTTAATCTATGCAACTAGATTGCATTGAGGGGTAAGATACATACGTCTCCCCTCGTTAAGTGTGATTTAATTTTTAAGTAATAAAATTTCCTTGCACCATCAAGGTTCACCAAAAAAAAAAAAATGCATGATCTAAAAGAACTTGTGATGATAGCTATATTGTTCACCGTTTTCTCCTTGTAATTCGATTCACAGCAATACTAGTTAATTAATAATCGAACTAGCCATCCAAAATCATGGCTGATTATGGTCTTTGGTATTTTTGGTCAATCATGGCACAATGTTTCAATACAGATAAAATATTTTGTGCGTGGATTTTTTTCTCATAGACATGTATATGTGAATAATTACATCAAATACACCTTTGGGTCTTATCAATCACTATTTCCCTTAATAGTTCAATAGTTTAATGTCTGACATTGGGTTCTATATAATATAGACCTATGAGAATTACTAATAGTGTATGGTTATATTGATTTGAATTGTTCACATATAAAATAAGGTGAAAGATTCTTTTGTTAATTGATGAAATGCCTAGATGATTGAATACTTACGAAAGCTAGTCTCACTCATTGTTTGAACGATTCCCTCTTATATTTAGCATGGTCGCTTATGTGTTTGCTGTCAAATATGCTGTATCACTATTAATTGTGTCTTCAAGAATTTGCATCACTAAGCGTCACAAAGTAGCCCACAACAAATTGACTTGGACCCAATCATAAAATGATTATACAACCTAAAGGTGCACCATGGTATGTTGTTGTTGTGGTGTTTCAACTTATTCGTTATGACACATAATTTACAAAATTTTATGTTCTTGAATGTACGTATTAATGAATATTGTGATCATAAATTATTGATTTAATGGTTTATGTAAAGACATTATTGCGATTTCATATCTATTTTATCATATAGTTTGGTAGCCACCAAGCTAGAATGACTAATAGATATTAAATCGTATTATTGATATTTAATATCCATTATTGAGATATTAAAATAATAGTTTATACAATGTCATTATTTTGATTTGAGATTTATATTACAATATAGTTTGGTAGTCACCAAAGTGGCCCAACTAGAATGATTCATAAATATCAAATCACATAATTGATTTTAATATCCATTATCTTATGATATTAAAATAATTGTTTATGCATCCTCATTATTTTGATTTAATGCTTATATTATAATATAGTTCAGTAGCTGCTGAAGTGGCTCAACTAGAATGACTAATAAGTATTGAATCATGTAATTGATATTTAATACCCATTGTGAAGGTATTAAAATAATGACTTACAAATCATAGTTTCTTGATCACTTGGATATTAGGAATTGGCCCAAAAGTGCACCATCTTTGAAGTGATTAATTAACTAGAATAGGATGATTGATGTATATTCATAATGGGTGTGGAACGGATGCCCAAGGGTGACGGACCTACCAAATTATGAATATATTATCAATTAGTCCTATTAGGTGAGGGAGAATCACCATAATGGTTAATGTATTAGTATATTATGATTACTACATAAAGGAGAGTCACAATAGTACTACTTATTGCTTCTTAGAGTATGTATTTATTCTAACTCATGGTTAAACTTATAGATGACTCAAAGTATTAATGTATTGAGCATTTACCTTCTTTTATTGTTAGTTAATGTATTGTTACATTTGCATACTTTGAGCATACTTAATGGAATAAATATTTTAAGATTGGTGTGAACAAATTTAGTTCCACTTATGTATTTTAACTATTTGTCTAACAATTAACTAGTATTACTGAATCAAATAGTTCTACTGAAATGGCTTTGCATAAAACCTATTAAATATCGAACCGAATATGCATTATGTTTATGCGAATGATTATGATGTATAACATTAAGTTGTTCTTCAAATTAATAATGTTTATGATTGTTGAATAGTTATGCAAGAATGTTATATAACTACTAATGAGTCTTTTATTGGACATTGATGGCTGAACTTACCATTATGGAATTTGATAGTACATGTGAGATGCATAAATATATCCTCATAATTCTAGCTACTAAGTTGAAGGTTTTAGGGATAGATGAGTTCTTTTACATAATTTATTTTTTGAACCTTTTGTCTGTTGATATGAACCTTTATTGATCTTAAGTAGTATGCAAATGTATGTCTATTATGTATGTTCAAGAGGAAACAAGACTTAAGAACTTAACATACTATTCTAAGACCAAAAGCCTACTTAGCTACTTAGGCTCGTAAGGGAAATAAATAATATGTGTCATTTATGTAAAAGTTGAGACATTTTTTTTTTAAATAATTGATATAAATGAAAAGCATGATTCGAAAAGAAAGATAAGCATTAAAGCTTTTGCATGTTTAGAATCACACCTTAAAGAAGAATATTCTAGTAGCGCATTATGGATTGACTTGAATTTGCTACAACAAATATTTCAAATCCGATGCTAGGGATTTTTCATAACCCAAAATGTTAAGTCATAAATTGATATCCATAGTTGATCAGGTCAAATCCCAATTTAAGATGGTTGGGACTTTCTGTTTATTTCTAAATATTAGTCATTATTTTTATAACAATTTATGTTCCTATTGTTTTGAAGTTTTGATTTTTCTTATCTAAACTTCATGATGATTATTATTCCTTTCAAATATGATAATAAAGTGTTAGTTTGTTTAAGAATATCTCTTTTAGTATTTTGGTAATCATCATAATAGTTTATAAAAATTAAAGTCTGATAACCTATTTTTTGAGTTTCTTCTAACCTTGTATCATAATGTTTAGAACCTATTGTAGTCCGATAAAAGAAAATTCTTTTATCTTGTGATATAACTGACTAGGTCACATAATTAGAGAAAGGTTGAAGAAACTAATCAAATATGATATTGTTTTCAATCTAGAATTTTATTGATTTTAGCGTGCACATATTCTATTAAGGAAAAATAAATCAAACACACCCAAAAAAGGATTCTAGAAGTGTAAACCTCTTTAAATTTATCTATACAGACACATAAAAAATTTGTTATTGCATTTATGGATGATTTTTCACATTATCGTTATCTCAATTTACTAAATAAAAATTTTAAGTAGAGAACGTCATTAAGGTATCTTATTAATGTTGAAAGGTTGGTATATAGAAAAGTGATAGTTATCAAATCGGATAGGTGGTGAATATTAGGGAAGATATGATGGTTAAAGATAATGACATTATCTATTTGTTAAACTCCTTGAAAAGTATACTATTTCTACTTAATACACTATATCTAGTACGTGGTAGCATAATGGTATAACTAATAGGCATAATTATAACATAGTCGAAAAGCTTAGGAGTATATTACGTGATTTGTCATTACTCTCATTTTATGGATGAATGCTCTTGGAGTTTGAGACATCTTAAAAGAAATTGGATTTTAGAACGAGTAATTTTATCATTTACTAGAAAAAATCCAAAAAGGTATAGGTTTTACTATCCTACCCATAGTATGAGAATTATATGTATAGATAATATCAGATTTATTAAGAATGGTGAAATTAGTGGGAGTGATAAATCACATAAAGTGGTTATTAAAAAAATAAAGGTAAAAGTCTTAATACCCATAACTTATAATGATTTTGTTGTTCCCACAATTGTTGAATGATTTGACAATGTTGAAAAACAAATTAATGATTAACCACTCCATATTGAGATTTTCACCAATAAATTGAAGTAGGAAAATTACATGAGTAGCATTAAGATAATCTCTAACAGAAATAAGATAAGCAATTTCAAATAATTATGTGAGTATATTTACAAGAATCTGACTTTGATTTAATGTTATGTAAAGATTTCATTTCGTTTTCATAAGCCATAGAAAGTAATGATTTTGCTAATTGGATTGATTTCATGAATGATTGAAATCAATGGACCAAAATGAAGTTTGAAATCATGTTAGATATGAAGTCAAACTTATGATCAAGGGTTTCACTCATAATTGAGGCATTGATTATGTAGAGATCTTCTATAGTGTATTTAAAAAGGGCTCACTAATAATCATTATGAAATTTGTAGCTCATTATGATTTAGAGTTATACCATATGAATGTGAAACTATAAAGGTTAATCTAAAGGGTTCTGAATAAGGGAATTGAAGTAACTCTTGACTTGCAAATTTAATAGGTCAATATATAGATATAAAGAAGTTTTTTCACCATGGTATTTTAAGTTCAATGATACCATGTTTTTTTAAGTATTAAGGAAACATCATTATTGGTGTATATATCTTAAGGTTAGCGGGAGTAAGATTTTTAACTCTATATGTTGATATTGTGTTGTTTTTCAGAAGTAATCTTAGATTATTACATGAAACTGAGTTTCTCTCTATAAATATTAAATGAAATATATGGTGAGGCAACTTATGTTATTGAAATTTAAATATCCCAGGATCGATCACGTAAATTATTTGGGTTGTCTCATAAAGCATATATAAGAAGAATTCTAGAGAGATTTAATAGGAGAACTATTTAGCTAATGTTACTCCAATTTAAGTAAAAGGAATAAGTTCAGTAATAAGAATGTCCAAAGAATGTAATAGATTTCTTATGTCCTGGTGCATGATCTAATGTATGCATTTACATGTATAATGTCAGGCATTATTCTTACAGTCAGTATATTACATAAATACTGAATCGATCTTGAAATGGATCATTATGAGCTTACAAGATATTTACAAGGTACGAATGATTATATGCTCACACTTAAGAACTCTAATCATCTAGTGGTAACTGACAATTAAGAAAGTTAAATTTGTGGCTTGCTTTGAGGCTACAATTTTTGGATTATGGATGCGAAATTTTATCTCAAGATTTGGAATTGTCGACTTTGTGGCCAAGCCGCTGAGAACATATTTTGATAATTTTGCATATGT